GTCGTGGGGAAAAACTGGTTTTTCCATTAGATCTCAGCACTCAGCTCGGTCTATGTTGACGTTCTAATTTCGGCGCTACGCTAAGAGCCAGGGCAGAGGCCAGGCAGGGGCCTGGGCGGCAGGCGGGCGGCGGGGGGTGGACAGCGCTAAAGTTGTCGCAGCTATAAAAAAATGTTACGAGAGTCACAAGCAACGCCTACATTTGCCCCAAACAACAACTAGAGACACAAGACTGGCAACAACAAATACAACAACAACGACGAAAACAACTCGATATGTTGCATTTCAAATATGAAAGTTTTTTTCGCCTTTCGAAGCGTAGATTGAGAGAGCGCTCTGGCAACTTGCTTTAAATATAAGCTGCAGCTGTGCAGCTTCAGCTTTTATAATATTTACATCCATTGCCAACATCTCTTATTGCACAAATAACTCAAAGGCTAAGCAACCTTTATTTACATCTGCAAAATGTTATTCCTTTCGTTTTTGTAACTAAAGCGCATTTTTATTTAGGAGCAGACACATTATGCATTCGCTTTAGCTGCTTTGGTTGATGAGACGATTTTATTTGACGTGGGCTGAGTTTGTCGAACGGTGCGATACACGATTCCAATAAATGTTCACCAGCATCTCTCAAAATGATAATAAAGCCGATTGTATGGCAAACTAAAAATTTCCGTACAACCATTTTTCATACGTTTTTCCCATCTGCTGGCGGAATTTTCCAAAACCCCGTCTTAGCATGCAGCCCTTAGGGTAACTGAGGTAAAACATTCAACACGCTAGCTCTTATGGTTCTGGGATTACTTGGTCCCTCAGTCAGTCAATCGGTAACGTCAATCAATCAGCCATGCAGTGAATTACATAGGCGGTCCGTCAATCAGTTTTGAATGAGTCAGTCAGTCAGTCAATCGGTTAGTCAGTCAGTCATCCAAGTAGTACATAAGATAGTCAATCAATTAGTAGCTCAATCAGTAACGTGGTCAATCACAGAGTCGCCCAGTCTCTCCAGCACTTACTCACTTAATCAGTCACACAGTCAGTCAGTCAATCAGCTAGTTTATCAATCAGTCAGTCAATTAGCTAGTCAGTTACTTAGTTAATCAATCGCTCAGTCAGCAGCAGTAAATCCGTCAGACAGTTAGTTAATAAGACATATAGTCAGTCAATCAGTCAATCAGTTAGTTCCTCGGTCAGTCAATCAGTTAGTCAGTTACTTAGTCAATCATAAAGATAGTCAATCAATCATGCAATCACTCAGTCAACAGCAGTAAATCCGTCAGACAGTCAGCTAATCACTCGAATGGTCAATCAGTCAGTCAATCAGCTAGTCTGTTACTTAGTCAATCATAAAGATAGTCAATCAATCATGCAATCACTCAGTCAGCAGCAGTTAATCCGTCAGACAGTCTGTTAATCAGACACTGTCAATCGGTGAGTTCATCAGTCAGTCAATCAGTTAATCAGTCAGGTCAAACAGTCAAATATATGTATGTGTATAGATAAATATAAGCGTAGCTTATTTGATTTAATGTTCTATTTGCTTGATTCAAGCTTTGAATCTTTGCATTCATCAGTCGAATTGCTGTTTGCCTGCGATTTGCTCTCGCTGCAGCTGTTTTCTTTAAATATTAGCTAATGCTAATTCCAATAACACAACCATCCACCTATCTGTGCTATATAAACACAAACTAGCAGTATGTATATTTTATAAATGTAGCTGCATGTGTCTTTCTATATGCGCAGCCAAAATCACACACATTTCCCATAGACAAGGGGGGGATAAACAAATGCGCGGACCTGCAATATCTCTGCGGGGAATACATTCGGAAAAAAAACAAAAAGCTCAGCTTCAAGGTTTTTGCTGTCGCTGTTGTTGTTGTTGTTGCTGTTTTTGATGGCAATTTGCTTTGATTTAATTCAATTTAACAGCATCGCCAGCGCGCAATTTGCCATTTTAAGCGTCATTTTGCGGGCCAAAAGGGTTGCCACCCTTGGCTTCAGCGTTGCCACCCGGTTGGGTTGAAGAGAGAGAGAGCGAGGGGGGGGGGGGGGGTTGGCTGCTTGACTGGCAGCTGCTGCCAGCTTTTGGGCCAGTTTTGTCGTGCTTCATTTTGCAGCTAGCATTAAATTGTGAGCCAAGAGAGAGTAAGAGTGGGGTGGGTTGGGGTTGGGGTTGGGGTTGGGCAGGTTAAACGGTACCAGGCTGCCCGCTCAAGTGTCATTCAACCGCGAGGACACGCAAACAGCTAACAACAACAGCAACAACAACGGCGGCGGCGGCGGCACTCGCCAGTTTTAATGATTATTTGCATGTTGCACATACAAAAGGCAACTGTAACTGCAACATGCATATAAATAATAAACAATGTGCCCCGCCCCGACTGGCAACTACCCTGGCCAGGCTTTCGACCAAGCTCCTAATGCGCTGCGTCCAGTTGCCGGCCGTATGTGTCCGGTTCTGATTGAACTTGATTGACAAGTTGGGCTACCTTTGCTGCTCTCATTGTTGTTGTTGTCGTTCCCGATGTCTCAAGTGGCACATCGAAGCACCGAGCTTCGATCGCTGACTCATGCAGCCAGCCAAAGTTGGCGACCGACTGCGTTGGTGTCCAATAACCTGGCCTGAAATTCGAGCAGATGCCCTGTCGCCCTGCCCCTCAACTCCCCCCAAAGAAACACACACACACACACACACACACATCCAGGCACCCACGCATGCTTAGGTAGATATTATATACACCCTGTGGCGTAAGCATCGTGTTACATGTGATGTATGCATATGTTTGTTTGGCTGGCGGTGCTAGGGGGGAGGGGCAGCTAGGGAGTCGGGATTATAATTAAGAAATGTTGATTATAAAGTGTTCTGTTATAGAAAAGTATTCATATTACACACAAACGTTCTGCTAGTTGGCATAACAGCATTTTCATTCAATTACAGGGTATACAACAAGACGAACTGTTCGCTCGATACATACATGTATCTTGATTAACACACAGCTCGTTTTAATTGGACAACAAATTACGTTTTACAATTACAGGGTATATTTAGCTACTACGCTCAGTTGTCTTCCAGGGTATAGCACTTGTCATCTCTACAAAACAAACCCTTATATAACATTCACTTTCTCGCCATATACAGGGTATAGCGCTAGTCGAGCTTGTCAAACGAACGCCTATTATATAAACGTTATAATTGAGAAATTTCCACGTTACTTTTCTCATTGCAATTTTCTGCACTAATTAAATTGGATTGGATAATTGAATCACAACCGCAATTACAGGATATGTCAATAGTTGTGCGAGTTGAGCATAAAAAAAAACCTTTCATATTTTTTTAATGAGTGCCAATGAAATTTCCGTTAAGCCAACCGTTTTTCTGTACCGTTACCTTCCGTTGGGGCCAGCTTAAAAGTTACCCTGGCAACTCCGGTCCAAAACTTTTGCCAGCTCCTTGCTCTGCCCTTGTTCATGTTCTCCTTGTTGTTGTTGTTGTTGTTGCTGTTGCTGTTGCTTTTGTTGTCGTGTCGTGGCGCAGTGTTGCCAATTCAATTAAATTTTGCACCCAAAATGGGCTCCAGCGACAAAAAATTAACTTTCCAGACGTATTTTTACACATTTTCGTTTCGTTTTTCGGTTTCGTCCTTATTTTTCATTTTTTTTTCATTGGCAGCGCAGCCAACTAACAGCAACAACAAAAACAACATCCAGCTCAAACAGCAGAAAACGAGCTGCAAGTTATTCAATTAAAAGTTCACTCAATACCCTGAAACAAATTCGTCTACCCTCGCTTTCAGCTCGTCCCCTTTTCCATCCTCGTTTTTGTTAGCATCCTTCGAACGGCGACCCGGTCTAATGGACGCTTCACTTGGTCCAGTTGCCAGCCGGAGTCAATATTCTTTTAAAGAACGTAAACGTGAACGTGACTTCTGTACGAATATAACAGCAGACAGTTCTGCAGTACTTAAGGAAATATGACCACACTGTCAGCTCTGCTGATGTTTATTAATCGTTTTGCCAGTTATCGATTACATTTGTTATTTTTTTTTTTTTTTGAGTGGGCACAAAAGCAATTTTTCGCAGGAGCGTGACTTGTTTGGTTTAGGGTGGTGGACAGTGTAAGGTCGGCTGAGTTTTGCAATGAAATATGAGCACAAATTTCCATTTAATTACGCACAATTTAATGCGCAGTTATCGATAAATTCCAAAGTGTGCCAAAAATATGGCAACGCTTTGAGTTTTAGTATCAAGTACGGAATATCGATAACACAGCGATAACAGATAACACACACGAGCGATAATCACGACAAAGGGGGTTAAAGATAAAAACTGTGGCATAATCAGCTTAAGTTACAACTATTGAGCAATTTGCATTTATCGATAACATCAATCAACTTACTTCTATGAATCGATTTGCATTTATCGATGACACAAATTACCTTTCAATTATTAATCTATCGATGCAATTAATATACTTACAATTATTGCTTGCTTTTCATTTACCAATAATAAGAGGAAGCCAAATTTACAGCTCTAGTTAAGGGATTTATTGATTTACTTGAACTTATCAATAGAATCAGTTCAATTACAAGTCTTGGTCGATTTGTGCATATATCGATAATGTCAAGGTGCGCTTGCACCCAAATTTGGAAAGATAATGAGTAACATAAATTTCCATGATAATTTTAATCGATCACATTTATCGATAACAACACTAATTAATCGCATAGCATTTATTGATAAAAATGAACACACAAATATAAATCAACTTGCATTAATCGATAACTAAGAAAATATTTCAATTGTTGGTCGATTTAGACAAACCGATAACATCAATTTACATTAATCGATTTTCACTTATCGATAACACCAAAAGGAGTATATAACAACTTTTTCGTCTTGATAGTTTAGTCAACCTTTTTATTAATTCCCAGTTAGCGATAACATTGAAAAGTTTCCACCCAAAATTAAACCATTTTGATTTTCCTCCCCTCTCTTTACAGAGCCTGGGCATCTTGGCCTCGATACCCGCCGGCCTGCTGATACTCTCGCTGCTCGGCCTGCTCCTGTATCTGCTGACGCGCTGCTGCGATCGCAAGCAGCGCAAGCCGAGCACCCAGCGCTGTCAGAGCTGTTCGCTGGTCATCATAACGCTGATGACCTGTGCGGCCATTGGACTAGGTAAGTGCTGGGGTGCATTGAACCCATATACTATATACCATACACTATAAGCCCACGCCAAAAATTCCCACTTGGCCACGCCCAAAGCTCGAGAAATGCACGTACCCGTCGCGTGTTTAACTTGGCAATTAGCCAAAAGTCGATGAGGACGACCGCCTGCATTTGGTTCATTACGTGCGCGGCTTGGGCTTTGGCACGTATCTGGATTTATGGGCGAGCGATCGCCGCCAGAGTCGCGTCACGTGTCAGGCATGAGCGAAATATGAGTGGAACTAGCCACAACAAAATCAACCCAACTGAGCCGGCAGCACAGTGTCGAGTCGACCACTTAATTTGTACATTTCGGACTAAAGTATGTCAAAGTGGCAAAGGTAATGCCCCAAGTCAAATCGAGCTGTGCCCCATCAACAACTGCGACTGCGAGTGGCATCATTATAATCCAGCCTACGCATACAATAAAAGTAATAATTTAATTAGCGCACTTAATTGACGCAAAAATGTGTCCACGATCGCGATTGACCTCGCCGGAGCTTGAGCGGTGAGAGAGCTAGAGCTTGCCATACATAAAAATGTCTCTCTTTGCTCATACTCCCTCGCTTTCGCCCTCTCTTGTCAAGTAGAGCCCTATTTGTCTGAAACAAATTAAAGATTCGCTCCTAGAATCTCGAGAACTGTAAAGAGGTGTGCACACATCGATCTGAGCACACGTATACATTTATCGAAAGATTCTGACACTTTTCTCTTTTCGCAACACTGAAAATGTTGGTAAACTTGCATGAAGTCTGGTTGAGGGCAGCCCAATTAATTCTGTACAGATTAAAAAGTAAATCTCGGCCTCTTCTGACTTACGCTGCCATTTAACTCCCCCACTTGGATACCCTATGCCAAGCACTTGTTAAAGTCGTTTAGTGGCGCTCTGCTAACTGTTCCCCTGCTTGCCGTTTCAGGTTTATATGGCAACGATGATTTCCACAATGGTCTGCTGCAGGCTTTCAGCTCCGGCAAGAAGGTGGAGAGTCTTGTGCTCAATCTTAAACAAGAGGTAAGTAATGCCTAAAAAGTTTCAGAACAAAGTAAAAGTTTCTCAGGAAACATAATTGAAAATCACTTATATATAGAGCATACTTAATGAGTTGTTTTGTTGAAAACTATTTACTTGGCTTGTTGCCTGCAGAACCTGAACGTAATGGGAAACATGAATTTAAGCTACTGCCGACAAAGTTTGAATATTTAAAGTTTGGCTGAATATACAATCTACTGGAAAGCACCTTTTAGTTGTTAGTTTCTTGAGCAAAAACAATATCGATAGGAATATGTGATATGCTCAAGCTCTTTGTTGATTTCATTTAAGAATTACAATATGTGCTTAATTCAGTGTGAATTTATGATGTTTCAAATGTAGTTGAAGTATATTTTTAATTCATATATTAAAAGCCAAGACTCCGACTGTTCAATATAAGCTATCGAACGATTGTAGCTAATCGATTGATCGCGAATGACAAGGCGTGCAGCCCTGGCGCTTTTCCCGACACACAACCCTGTACTTACATATATGGGCCTTGCACTCGAAAAGATCAGAAATTAAGAATGTGTTATGGATAATTTATTAATTATACCCTGAAACCAATAAAAATAGGTTTAAGGGTATATTGTATTTGTGCAAATGTTGTAACAGGCAGAAGGAAGCATCTCCGACCCCATAAAGTATATATATTCTTGATCAGCACCAATAGCCGAGTCGATCTAGCTATGTCCGTCTGTCTGTCCGTCTGTCCGTATGTATGAACGCAAGGATCTCAGAACCTATAAGAGCTAGAGACTTGAAATTTTAGATGTACGTCCTCCTAATGCCTGTGCAGTTTGTTTCCGATAATCGATAACTTACTCCGTTTCCAAGCAATCGATAAAAATATCGATATTCTGTTTTTTGGGCAATTTTGGTAAATAATAAGAGCTAGAGTCACCAGACTTGACATATAGCTTCTTAAATAGAATATATATATTCATTTGATGTTGGAAGAAGAGGGTTCAGGGTATCCCCTAGTCGGGAGCTCTTGTTTTCTAATTTGATAAATGACGAACTTATTTGATGCATTCCTAATAAAATAGTAGTAACTAGCTTTGCAGCCCTGGCAATTTGCCCGCATACAACCCTGCGAATAGAGCCGAAACTAAAACGGTTTTATGGATAAACTCTTTATTGTCTAAGTAATTTTAGGATTGTTTTGTTCTATATAAACACTGTCATTATGAGAGTGAAAAGGTTATGGAATATGTCTAACAAGCCGCCTACGCATCCTTACGATCGTGATCCATCAAAACGCGTGTAATTTCCGTGCGAAACTTGGGCTTATTGTCATTGGACATTGCTCTCATGTGTGCTACGATGGGCAGCATTGGCGGCGACTTTTCCCAATTGGATCGATTCGACCGATTGCGACCCATCGACAAATTCGATCCAATGTTCTGTGTGCCCACACCATTTGGATATCGGTTATTATCGATAATTGTAAAGTCGCCGATATTCGGCGGGAAGGGCTCCTGTGAACATGGCGCCAGCTTGCTGGGATCGACAACGTTGCGCAGAATTTCGAGTGCCTGGAAATAGGACCAGTTCGATCTCTCGGCACGTTTCTGTTGGATTTTGCGTATCTCGTCGCGATAAACGTTGCGCAGCCCCCAGAAACGGGGCTTGCACTCGGGCACTATGCAATTTAATCCATATCCCATGATTTGCTCCGGCTCTTTCATATTCCAATTACCCACCATTTGTACTGCCCTCGATACCTCTGGCCAATGCATGTGGTGCATGGCCCTGGCCTTTGTCCAAAGAGCGCGCCGTTTCTCTATCTCAAATATCAGGCGAATGTATTCAATGTCCATTTCACACGCTTGGCCAAAAAACTTTCGATACGTTTTGTGTTTTATATTTTTAAAAACAAGAAAAAAATTGTATATCCTCTGCCAACGAAATGCACTTGCCCAGGGCTTCCAAAAATGTGAAATGAAAATAAAATTCCAGGTGTGTAGCTCTACAGGCTCTATGTTTGAATGAATTAACGCAGTAAACGCGATTCTCGAGTTTTGACAGTCAAAGGCATGGCCCGCTTGGGTTATTCCTATGCCTATGCTATATTTAAAAATAAGAATTAGTTTGGACTTCAAAACTCGATTGGTCTTCTTAATCTCTGTAATTTTGATTCGGTTTGAATATAGAAAGCATTTAACCTTTTTTTTGCACTTCATGTACGAAAATCCATGTAGATAAGTCTTGCAGCTTCACCTGAACTTAAATTAAATTCACTTCACAAGGCGGAAAATAAGTGAAAACTGCTAATTTGCAATCTTAGGTTTGTTTCTATATATAGAAGTAGCTTGTACTGTTAGGCCTCTAATGCCAGGGCTTTCACGTGTTCTTAAGTTTCAAAATAAGGTCTAAATATTGACGTTTCAGAGATGCCATACCTTAAAAATACTTAAAGTGTGGCAATACATTACAAATTGGAGAAACGGAAGGCACATGCAATAACTTCACTGAGCTTATGCAGGTGTCTTTTTAAAATGCGTTTGCCTAATGCTGCTGCACTTACACGAGCACAAAGAGAGCTGCCCAAAGATGCAACTTTTCGAAAATTGCCAAAGGATGGCAACACTTTATCTGCAATAAGCAGCTTACGGATAAATGTGTTCGAAAAGTTAAAAATACTTGTAAATTCCAAAAGCAATTACAAATGTTGCCCGTCGAGTGAAGGTTTAAAACAGACTACACGACGAATTAATTAAGAGATAGATGCGCCAGAGTCGACATCTAGCATTAAGATCCTTTCTGAGTATTTATTCCAAGTTTCAAGTCTTTAAAATCAATAAGAAAAAAGCATTTAATTTATAAGCCCAGGCGGCCGGAATGGACATGGCATTAATTCCACAAACGCATTAATTGCTGAAACGAGTTTAAACCGTTTCGCGTTCTGGCGTTGCCAGACTTTACACATTTCTCAGCTAAGTTGGCTGCGCCTCATCACATTAAATCAGATTAAATTTCAATTGCATTTGCTAAGTGTGGGCGCCAAAGCAGATATCGATAAACATATTTCATTCAATTAATGCACTTCTTAACTAATTTTTTTAATGGGTTGATGTACGGAAGGAGGGGGGGGGGGGGGGGGTTGGTGTTGTGCTTGAAATATATTCCGTTAGACAGCGCAAACCCACCCATTTCCAACACTGATTTCTTTGCCCAAGTCGCCGCAACTGTAACTTCCCACACACACACACACACACACAGAGAGAGAGAGACATATCTCACATCTGTAGACAGCGGCAGGATAAGCGGAGCTGCGGGGGAGACGCTTTGGCTTTTGCTATTCATAAACTTTGTCAGCTTACAGACACACACATGTGTGTGTATATATATGTGTATAGTCTATATAAGTATGCATTCATGTATGTATGTGTTTGTATATATTTATATATGTAGACATTCACATTTATATGTTTATACGTACATAAAAGAAGCCGATAAGGCAAAAGGTTAAGAGAGCGAGTTGAGCAAAAAAAGTGAATGCAGGAAGGGGGGGGGGGGGAGTGTGGTGCTCCGGCTCAGCGTGGAGCGGAGTGGGAGTGGGGAGGTGGGCGGGCAGATGTGAGGTGCGGACAAGTTGAGGCTGCGGCCCAAACAGATGGCTGGCATTGCTTGGCCCTTGAGTAAAACGCTATTAATTATCTAGGCACAGGACTAAACACTCGCATACTCTCACACACACACACACACACACACACACACACACACACACACACACACACACACACACACACACACACACACACACACACACACACACACACACACACACACACACGTTTTGGGTGCCTGCCAGACGGTGGGCGGGGCTCCGTGCGTGGGGCTGCTGTCGCTGCTCTTAGGCAAGCTCTCGACCCTACGCCCTGTCACGCTTTCCATGTCTGCCGCCCCCTTTGCACCGCTGCCCCCTCTGCCGTGCTGCCGTGCTGCCGTGCTGCCCTTCTGCATCCTGCAGTCCCCTTCGTTTTTATGCTTTCTCTTTGCTTTGGCTGTGTACTTTAATCCTTGCACAAGTGCGGAAGCAAAAGCATTATGGGTTAAGAAAATAAAAAAAATAAAGGAAAAAAAAAACTACTATATTTATGTGCAACGTTTTCGTCCTTTGTTCCAGCGGGTCTGTCTCCCCTCTATCAGTAGCGTCTGCCTGTGTGTGTGTGAGTCCTTTTTGCGCGACGCTTTCCCTTTGCCCACTTTTGGTCATTAACTTTTGAACTGCTCTCACCTGCCGCTGCCGTGAGTCAGCGGCTCGGCCCAGAGCTTAAGTAATGGGACAACAAAGAGCCGAACGGCCCAAACCCAAACCCAGACTCGAACTGGATTCCAGCCCGTGCTGTCCAACTATTATGCGCACATTCAATGGCTTTTCGGGGGTAGTTGTCGCCGGATATCGCTTTCATAATCACCTGCGACAACATCCTGTCAGCGAGAACAACTTTAATCTAGCCAAATTACTTCTACTTGTTGAGGGTTCGCGTTGGGCCGGCCCGGGAAAAGGCTAGCCGGGCTGTTTCGCCCAGGGCATATCGTGCGCACTTTCAATTGGGTCAGTCCTCCTGCACTATAATGCGTAGAAGCAGATCAAAAATCGTTTAAAGTTCTATATTTCTGATTGAAAAGGATTCATTCTGATTGATTGATTGACTAACTGACTGACTGATTGACTGTTTGGGCTTCATAATTATATGAGCTAAACAGTTGAATTTCCTGCCAAGGCGGAATTTCGGCTCAATTCACACGTAAATGTGGAAAATTGATGAAACTTTTGTGTCCAACATCCGATTGGCCTCAAAATTGATTTCAAATATTTTCGTGAATATTTATTTAGAAAGCGATTTCACACCTTTCGCAAAAAATACATCCCCCTTAAGTGGAAAAGGCTGGCCAAAGGTTGTAAGGGTAAAATTTCAAGTTAAATCTATTTCAAAGAACAAAATAAAGAAAGGGCGTAAAACTGCAAGTTGCAATTTTCATTTGAAATGTGATTGCGATAAATCCACTCCGCTGAGTGGAATTGTGGCTTAAGGCAATTTAGTTCGTGCTCGGGCAAAGCCGCATATATTCTGTTCAGCTCCTGACTCTGTCAAAAGTGCCCAAAGTGAGCCACAAATCATTTCATCAGAATTGGTCTTCTTAATTCAACTAAGCCGGTTAAAGCTTGCCGGACTTGAACCAGCTTGCAGTCTCGTGCCAAGAAATAACTTCTATAAAATGTGCAAATATTATTGGAATTTCTTATTTTCAACATCACATCTAATCTACAGCAACTTCTTTTTGATTTTCTCTTGTTGACAGACTGAAACCATCAAGCGCGATCTGGAAACGAAAATGGCTTCGCACAACGTTGTGAATCAGGTGGAGAGACAGCAATACAATCAAACCGCTGTCATGCTGCTCATCGAGACGTCCCGTCTGGTGCGGGAGAATACCTCACGTGCGGTCACCTCGCTGGACAACATGGTGCTCTACTTCATGAAGACCAAGGGCAGCGAGAATGAGACCTCGTTGATGGGCATTCTGCACGTAGGTCTTTCACGGCATTTAATTGAAGAGCCCTTTCAATATAGCTTCTCTCTCTCTCTCTCTGTTAGCTGGGCGACCTATACGAATCTATACGCTGGCCGGCCACATTGGCCTTCCTCACTCTGCTTCTATTCCTGTGCACCGTGCTGGTCATCGGCGTTGCCCGTCGTTCGCGCTGCACTTTGATTTTCTTCAGCGTTTCGGGTTTGTTCTGCATCATCATCTGCTGGCTATTGGCTGGCATCTACTTGGCCTCTAGCGTGGCAGCCGGCGACTTTTGTATGCGACCGCATGAGTATATGTGCCGCCAGGTGGGCATGGTAAGTACCCGACGCATACACACACACACGCACACACACCTAATGTCCTCTCTTTCTATTTGTGTTTACAGCGCAGTCCCTATGTCTATTTCCTCAACTGTGGCACATTGCGCAATCGCTTTATACTGCGCCTCAACGAGTCCCGGGATCTGGTGGAACGTGCCCGTGAGAGTGTTGAAATGATGCAACGGTAAATACACCATGGGTGGAAATTGTTTAAAAGAGAGTTTATTTACTTTACGATCGCATTCAAATCTCAATCAAAACCGCCAAACTAGATGGAAGATAGGGGAGAAACTTTAGTTGTTGTCCGTTCGGCTTCAAACGTATTTTCCAAGCTCTAGCTTACTGAAATTAAACGCAATATTCACATACACGTGCGGAAAATAGGTGAAATATCTATTTACTTTACGATCGTATTCTAATCCCAATCGAAACCGCCAACCAAGGTGGAAGATAAGGGAGCAACTTTAGAGTTTGTCCGTTCGGCTTCTAACGTATTTTCAAAGATCTAGATCTTAAACGCAACCATGTTTCACCCAGCGCGAAATATTCACCTTTACATTAATATTAACCTATTTTGTATATTTGGCACAGCATGAGCCAGGACACGTATCCACGCATTGATATACAGCGCACGCTTAACGCCATGGACAACGATCTGGAGGAGACGAAACGCAATCTGACCAATCTTTCGGCCACGCTGGACAGACGCGCCATCGATCGCCACTATGCGGAGGCGTTGCACGGCCTCTGCGGCGGCGGCCTACTCGGGCTCAGTCTGATGATGGTCGCCGGTCTGTTGACCTCGTTTCTGCTCACGATACTCGTCTATGCGGACTCGCATGCCTGGATTTATCTGAGCAAGCGGTAAATGTGCTGGCCATTGGCAAATTGAGTCAAATTTAAGATCTTTTGTATTTTATATATCGCAGGCCCACAATGGATGGCGACAAGTCGGAGACAGCGCCGCTGTTCTCGGCCTCGAATGCGCCAAGCGCCAGCATTTCGCCAACGGCGCCCATGAGCACCGGCACCATCAATCGGACGCTGCTGCATCATCAGCAGGCGCATGGTGGTCCCATTGGTGGCAGCGTTGCCGGCGGCGCTGGAGCCGGGCACACGGGCACGCTGCCCAGCAGCAACAGCTTGGCTGGCGGCAATGGCGCCGGACCCTACAGGAATGGCACAGCGGGCCTGCGACAAGGGTTGGCATCACCATCATCACAATCAAGCAACAATACATCATCTACTACAACTTACCACCACCACAACAACAACCACCACTACAACCACAACAATACACAGCATAGAACTAACTCAACGGCGGCAGCGGCGACTGCGGCGGCGGCGGCCTCATCGCTGTCCAGCCGCTCCAATGGCGGCCGCCGTTCGCCGTCGCCGCCGCCCGGCTATGATTTGGTGCATGGCACAAGGCATGAAGTTTAATTTGATTTTTATTTCGTTTCGTGTACTTCTTAGTTTTGTCTTAGTTTTAGTCGTAGCAGTGCCTTAAAAGACAGTCGATCGCACAGTTTCCTAACATCTACCATATACTATATATATATTTATATATATATATATATATGTACATATATACAAAAGATTTTATTTTACTTTTTATTTGTCCTGTGTACATTATGTTTGTTTCATCCAGTTGTCTTTGGTTTATTTTCATTTCATTATTATTTTCGATTTTCAAATTTTTCATTTATTTCCCGTTGTTGTTGTTGTGTGCCCTCTGCCCAGCACTTGGCCACGCCCAACTGCATGACTTACATGTATTTCATACGTATTTCGTAGTAGCTCAAATCACAGTCTATTTAACCAATACCAATGTACATATGCCTATATCTCGATCGTACATGGACAACACGCATAACGCACACACGACATATGCACCGGCATTAGGGGTAGTCATGCAACAGGGTGGCACATTACTTAACTATTCTATATAACACCATTTGCGACTGATTCGGCTTTATAATTTGATCGGTTCAGCGGTAATAACACCATTTGGTTTTCTTGCCATGAGTACAGTAGAACTTGCCTATAAACAACAGGCTACGGAAAAATATATAATATATATTATTATTTAATATATATGCATAAGGATTCACAAATTAATACACATATACATTCAGTCTGTTTTGGTTTCTCTTTGATTTCAATAATTATTGTCATCGTAATAATAATTTTTATTTTATCAATGAGAGGAATTTGACCATGATATATACATATATTTGTGTGTTATATGTATATACATATATCATTCATAAAATAATACAACTAGGATTTTCATGCTCAAAAACATGTGCCTAAATTTTGAAACAAATTTAAAACAAGGACGATATATGGATTGAATTTCAAAGTTCATTAAAATGTAGCTCATTTTCCATTGCTGCAAGTATTCCTATATAAATATATATTATCTACTTTTTGGGTGCAAACATTTTGTAAGGAAAGTGAAGAAATATTATTGTTTCAGATGTTATGCAAGTAAATTAAAAGAAAAAAAGGTAAAAATAATGAACTGTCATTAGGATTCTTAGTAAAATGAAAAGCTATACATACTATTTAGTCTCTTGATGGTACAGATTTGCATTTACTTGGTTGGTTTTTCTGATCTACTTGATCTGCTTTCTATAACTTATAGCAGTTACTTCCATTAGTTGCCAATAGAAAAGTAAGAGCTAATCAATTCGTAATGAAAATATTTTACATAAAACATAAGCACGTTTTTTTTTTTTATATTTTATATATTTAACACATTAAGTATTAGGTTTCTAAGTTAATAAAGATAAAAAAAAAATTATGTCTTTATATGGCGACATTATGTGTAAACATGTACCATAGCTCCATAGAGGGAGTACCTCTAATTAAAGGCGAGATTCAAGTGCAACTCATTTTGATTGTAGAAATAGAGCTTAGAAGAAGGTAGAAAACATCTTTTAAAGTTGCATTAGGCTAGAACATCAATGTTAGAGAATGAAATGAGAATATTAGAATGGGATAAAGTTAATAAAAAATTGATATAAATATTATTTATTTTTTGTTGTATACGTTAGCTCATTGTAAATATATATGTTATCAATATTGTATGTAAAGCTAACCAACAAAAAGAAATATCATCGCCTGACTACCCCTAATGTTGCTGCGACTAGTTAACGTTTTAGCCTACACAACCTAGCAACTGTGGCAATTGGCCTGCCATATTAACAACATATTACTCACATATATATATGCTTACCGTTATGTGTTCACAGATCGGGCCACCATACGCTGGGTCGCCTGCCATCGCACCACCAACAGTCGGCGTCGCATCTGCCCGGGCCGAACAATGGCAAATATGCGACGCTCAGCAAGCAGTGTAAGACGCTCGAATCGAACGACTTCTACTGAGATTCGCTTGCCTGCAGCACGTATGCAGGCAATAGCAACAACACGCAGCACAGCAGCAACATCAATCAGCAGCAGCAGCAACTGCAGCAGCAACAACAACAACACCACAGCAGCAGCAGCAGCAACACATTGAAGAACATATTCGCATCGGCAACGCTGCCCCGCTCCACAGGCAGCTCCATACGCTCCGTGCTGTCCGCACAGACGGCCAATGCCATTTGCAAGTCGACGGGCAACGGCCTGGACGCAGCCGATGTGCTGATCGACGATCGTGATCCGCGCGATGTCACCAACAACAGCTTCAATCGCTTCGATCCCAAGTACATTAGCATCGGGCCCAAGGCGGTGCGCGGCAACAACAATTTGAATATTGTTGCGGCCGCCACGGCCAACAAGTGCGCCACGCTGCGGCATGTGGGTCGCTATGGTGGCTCCCTGAAGGGCGCCTCGCCGTCGCCCAACTTGCGCAGCGCCAAGACGCCATCCATAGCGACGGTGTCCAAGGACTATTGCCAGCAGGCTGAGTGCATGCCGCAGGTCTATGCCGCTGGCTCGACGGACATGCTGGTGCCCAGCACGACGGCGCAGGTGGTGCAGCAGCAGCAGCCACCGCCGCCACCATCGCAACAGCAGCAGCAGCAGCAACAGCAGCAGCTGCAAATGCAGTTGGTGGTGCAGCAGGTGGCGCCACCGCCGCCGCCGCCACAGCAGCAGCAGCTGTTGCAGCCACAGCCCGCACCACCGCCGCCACCCAAGCCAAAGATAGTCAACACCTTTACGGAAATACCCGGCACCACGGGCGTGGGCAGCTCCTATGCCAAGGAGCAGCAACAGCTGCTGGCGCTGCAGCAGCAACAACAGCAGCAACTGCTCGCCTTGCAACAGCTGCAACAACAACAGCAACAGCAGCAACAGCAACAGCAGCAACAACAACAACAACAGCAGCAGCAGCAGCATCATCATCATCATCCACCGACCACACACATTCTGCCCCCCTCGGCCGTGTACAGCATTGAGAGCAGCAGCGTTTACCCTGCGGCAGCAGCAGCGGCGCAGCAGGCAGCACCAACGGCGGCGCCACGCGTGCAGCGCTCCCTAAACCCAGCCTCGATAGTCAATCAGCCGTTGCCGGAGATACCCGTGCAGTCGCCCACCGGCAACAGCGGCACGCCCGCCACCCAGTCAAAGATCTCATCTCAGCAGCCGCTGTGCGCTGCCACCTTGGGCCAGTATCGCTCGCTGCAGCGGCCACAGGCAGCGGCACAGCAGAAGCTGCAGCTTGCCGCGCAGCAGCAGCAGCAACCGCCTTCTCTGCCTCCCAAGAATAGGCACAAGAACTCGCGGGATGTGAACAATGCGAATCATATGCAAACGTTGCCGCCCAAATCTGCGAGCCTGCGCCAGCAGCAAACCGCCAGCTTTGGCTATGAGCGCGAGCGCGACAGAGAGCGTGAGCGTGAGCGAGAGCGAGAGCGTGAGCGGGAGCGTGAGCGTGAAAGAGATCGCGAACGGGAGCGACCACGTCGCGCCGAAACGCTGGACAATGCGCGCAGCTACGCCGAGCAGCAGCAATATGGAGTCCAACCCCTGCTCAGCAGCATGAAGAAGCAGCACTCCTACGACAGCAGTACCTACCACCACCAGCAGCAGCACCACCAGCAGCAGCAGGCGGCCTACTACCAACAGCGGCAGCACAACAACAACTATCATGGCACAGTGTCGAGCAGCGCCAGCAGCAAGCATCATCAGCAACAGTTGCTGGTGGAGCAGCAACAGGCGCTCTTGTATCGCTCGCTGAAGCGCAGCAGCGGCGGTGGAGGTGGCGGGGGCGTGGCAGCTGGTATTGTGACAGCGTCTGGTCATGCCAACAGCGATTTGTATTCTGTGACGGAATTGTAGGAGTGCGCCTGCTGCGGCGGCGGCGTTGATGTGCGGCGTGCCACGAACTGTTCGACGGGCACGAGCGCAGCATCAACGGCGCTGCACGCAGCGGCGGCGGCAGCCTCAGCCAGCACACAGACACAAACACAGACGCAAACGCAGCTCAGCCAGGCGCCCATACCGCTGCCGCCCAAAAAGCATCGCGCACAGCAGCAGCAGCAGCAACAGCAGCAACAGCAACAGCAGCAGCTGCCCTGCAATGCGAATCTGTGCGATGAACACGAGTACGACGAGTATTGCCCGCAGCAATATGAATCGCAGCAGCAGCATCAGCCGCAGCAGCAGAGCTCACGACATGGCAAGCAGCAGCGCGCGGCCACCTTTGACCTGGCGGATGCGCGCGACTACGAGCTGAAGCGTCTGGGAAATCGACGCTCCCAGCAGCAGGCGGCCAGCAGCAAGCGAAATGGCGCAACAGCAGCCAGCGACCAGCAGCAGCAGCAACAGCAGCAGCAGCAGGGGCAGGGGCATCATCATCATCGCACACACGACCGGGAACGTTCCCGCAGCGATCATCGCATTGCCAGCTATGCCTGCGAGGATGCAGCTGCGGCGGCTCTGTGCAGCGCCGGCTCCATGAGCCTGCTGCCAGCCAATGGCAGCGCACAGCAGCAGCAGTCGCATCGCAGCCATCATCAGCAACAGCAGCAGCAGCAGCAACAACAGCAACAGCAGCAGCAGCGACGGGAGAAAACATTCAAAGTATGATTTTTAGAGACGTCATAAAAATTGCCCAGCCCGCGACAAGTTGGCTACAAACACGACGACGACGGCGGCGGCGTTGATGTTGCTGCTGTTGCAGCTAAGCGCAGGCGACGCACGCGCTGAACAGAAGCAACAACAACAGCAACGACGACGACGACGTTGGAGCCAGCCAGCGTTGCGGATTTTTCTAATAATAAGAAAATTGCACACACACACACACACACACACACCCGCGAAATGAAAGCTAATTATATATGAGTCCAGAATGCACCTTTAACTTACGATCCGCCCCCTCACCAAAACCTGCCAACCACGCCCCTGAAATGTGTAAACGAAAATATTTGTAGCAATTTGTATTGCCGATATTGGCGAAGAGTTCAATGAAAATCGATGCGAAAATTTGTTCAATTAAGTGAAAAGTGAAGGCAAGTTGTGCAGCACGTGCAACTTGCAATAAGACAAGCCGTGCCTCATGCAAATGCACACACAGCACACTCACACACACACAACACACACACAACACACACAACACGCTCACACATACTTGTACATGCCGCGCTCCTGCCCCGCACACAAAATGCGCCGCTCTATTCGGTTCTCATTCTCATATGTGTTACAGTTGCCAACTGCAGCAGTTGCAGCTGCAGCTGCTGCCCCATTTATCAATTGAAACATCAAATCAAACTTTTGCTCCGTGTTGTTGCCTATTGTTATATATAATTAACGAAAAATTCGTTCTTTTTTTTTTTTTTAAATATATTTATATATATATATATTCATCTACATAGATATTAACGATAATTAATCATAAATGTGTTTATATTTAAGTTTAGTGCAGTCTCGTTAAGTCCATCTAAGCTATAATTATTTATTTATGCAACTAAGCAAAGCCCGCCCCTTCCCCCACTCCCTGCCACCCCCTTATCGACACACACACACACACACACACACGTATCCCTCAAGCCCAAACAGATACCTGATTTGCATTTAAAATCATTTTTATAGACCCCTTTTTGTTTATTTGAAAACAATTTTCTTTTCAATTTGTTTATTATTTAAAAATCCGTTGCGAAAGCGCAAACAACAACAGCGAAAAGTTCGTAATTTTTGTGACGTCAGAAATCTAAAGAGAAAAGTGAACAAAAGCAAAACAAAGCACAAAACAACAACAACAACAACTGTAATTGTAATTCCATTTTTAAATGTTAAACAGCAGAAAAACAAAACAAAAAAAAAACAATAACAACAACAAAAATAAATATAAAAAAATAAAAATGAACACTGCAAGCCATAGAAAACCAAGCAAAACACAAACTGTTTAACTATTTACAATCTAGCAAAAACAAAATAACAACAACAACAAGAACAACAACAAAAACAAATATATATAAATATACATAAACATAAACATAACACATACATATATGCAAAAACTTAATGAAATACGTATATGAATAATTATAATAATAATAACAATGCAAATATATAATTAACGAATGTTCAGGTCAACAACTGCATTTAAAAACAAATTTGTTAGGCGTTAAAGATATGCTCCTTTTATATACAAAAAACAAAAACAGAATAAGAAGATATATACATATATATATATATACATACAAGCATACATACCATACCATACCACATACTATACATACTACAAAAGACGTTTGCATGGACAAATGAAACCACAAATGAATGTACATTACATATTATTATTAAAAGAAAAACACACACACACACACACACACACAAACCAAAATAAAATACAAGTAAAAACAAAAAGGAAAAACAAGTTTTAAATAAAGAGCAAAAAGCATGGGAAATTTCTTAAGCACAGCCATATAACACGTATATATAGTTTAAATATATATATATATATATATGCCACGCCCACTTAACACAGTTAAAGACAAAAACAAAAAAAAAACAAACAAATCTGAAATGGAAATACATAAGAAATTGAAACTTTCTGCTGTGCAGACGCAAATAAACGAACAAATCAAATGAATTACGCATATAAAATACAAATACAAATGCAAATAAATAAATTTCATAATTATAAACAAAACAAGCTAAACATTTACTGAAATGTGAACAAAGGCAAATATTTTGCATTAACATTCTAAAGCCCGATTGATACCATATATAGTTCACACATTGTATATAGTTATAAGAAAAATGCTCCCAACTTTTAACGCTCCACTCTACAACTATCTCTCTCTCTCTCTCTCTCTCTCTCTCTCTCTCTCTCTCTCGCTCTCGCTCTCGCTCTCTCTCGCTCTCTCTCTCGCTCTTACACGTAGCGAAAACCTACATTCCAATCAAAAACAAAAACAAAAACATATATTTGTATATTCCGCAACCTCTCTGTCATGCTCTGTCCCGTTCAATCTCTGCCAAACAGTTAGTTGTCCCTATTTCTCTCAGTGTAGTGTAGTCACAAAGTTGGTTGTTGCACACAAACATTCGCTCAATAAACATAAGAAAGAATCAAATGATAAGCAAAAAAGAAGTTAACAAAACACCGAAAATTCGTTCATTCAGCATTTGGCAACAATTATGCAATATATATATATATATATATACATATATATATAGTTAACAGCCATTGTTACAGGCTGTTTACACTTGTATATAGGTACGTTTACCGTTTAATCTTTATAAGTAGAGACAACTGCAACGGCAATTTAAATATATTCATATATATATTTATATATACTTACTATAAATATGTATACTCTTTTTTTTTGTTAGGGTGCCGCAAAAAAAGTAAGAAAAATCCAAAGAAAAATAAGAATTCAAGAAAATCTGTTTCAGAACGTAGCGTAGTGTAGTGTCGTCTACCCTGTAAGGCCAAAATAGTTTTTAGCACAACTAAGAAATTCAATATAGTAAATAACTAAAAACAAATGAAAAGAGAAGCAAACAAAATACCAAATAAAAATAAAAATAAAAAAAAAAAAGTGAGCATGAGTGAAATGCTCGGTTAGGCAGGTATTTACAATACCTATAGCATTTAAATATGAGGCAAACGATTAATGCTATAAACAATGATGATAATTATTATAATTATGATTAAATAAATTGCAATTAAACGTATGCATAAACGGCGGGATTAAATAAAAAACAATACCCATAAGAAACGTTTAGCTATTAACAACAAACTAGCGCACTTTTTCTTAATAAACAATTCAAATCGGGGGAAAAGCCACCAAAAAGAAAATTTATTAAAAAAAAAAAGTGAAAAAAAAAAACAGAATACCCAAACTTACAGTAAGCGAGAAGCAAGACGAATTTTAGAGTGCGCCGTTTTTTAATTAAATTAAGAAGTATTTTAATGAATGTTTTTTTTTAGAGGGTTTTTTTTTCTCTGTTTTTCTTTTTGTTTGACAGCTGCGAATATACGAGAAATACGATCGACACATGTACGTTTATTTATGTATGCTCCGAACCCCTGTTAAACAACTGAATTATTGTAATAACAATATAAGTCTGTACATTTGTTAACATTTCTAAGCTCGTAAGGTCTTAAGGCAAAACCCAGCGTACATCTATGTCGTCTATGTGGTAGTTGTAGTTAAACCAAATTACAATTATAAAACAGATCATATTAAAAAAAAAAAGAAAATCATGTGAATTATACAGTAATGATTGATTGATTATGATAATTGTTGAAAGCAACTGCTTTAAAATCAAAAAATAAATACAAACGAATTAATGAATGAAAACAAAGAGAAAAAACAAAACATAAAAATAACAAAATTAAAAACAAACAAATAATTATATAACAGTTGTGAACAAATTATATTTACATAGCGTATAAATAAATTGCATAACAATTGATTTAAAATAAAGCAAACGAGTCGTTTTAAGGCGCCAATTCAATTGGCCAGTAAGTATCGATGCCAAACTATGCTCGGCTATCGATAAAATGTATGGTACACAAAATTACTTTCGCCAGCCCTGGTATCAGCTGTTTGTGGCGGCGCGTCAATAAGTTATCGATACCTGCGGCTGCACATAGTTAAATACGCTAAGCACGAGACAATAACAAGCCTGAGAATTACCAATAGAAACGACAACAACGACAACTGAAAGCCAGGAACAATGCAAAAGCTACTCCGTGGCGTTGCATGTTGCCAACATGCCGCCAACAACGGAGTGAACGTTAGCCAGTTGCATATACCACGTACGCAACAGCTGGGCCGCCGCCTGCTGAGCACTGCGACTGGCCATGCAGCAGATGCGGCCGATGAGCAGGTGTTGAGCAAGCGAAAATTTCAGCCGCACGAAGCCGTCGATCCCAACGAGAAGCTGGCCGGACAAGTGCCGGGACAGGCGCGTGTCGTCATTTGTGGTGGAGGCATCACTGGCGCCTCGGTGGCCTACCATCTGGGCCTGCAGGGCTGGGGCGGCGAGACGCTGCTAATCGAACAAGACGGCGTTGGCGGCGAGCTGCCCTGGAGTGCCTGCGGCCTGGCCGGTCGCTTTGAGCCCAGCTATACGGAACTGAAGCTATCGGAGTATTCAATTGATTTAATCAAGCGGCTGACGGAGCGAGGTTTGCCCACCGGCTGGCGGCAGGTGGGCAGCCTGAATCTGGCGCGCAGTTTTGATCGCATGACTTCCTTCCATCGCATGAAATCCCAGGCTGTCGCCTGGGGCATGAACTGTGAGATACTCACGCCGGAACAGTGCAAGCAGCACTGTTCACTGCTCTCGTTGGACGGCATCGAGGGTGGGCTCTGGATACCGGAGGATGGCGTCTGTGATCCGCACCTGGTCTGCCATGCATTCATCGAGGAGGCACGACGCCTGGGCGTGCGCATTGTTGAGCACTGCGCCGTCAAGAAGATACACAGCGATCACGGCAAGGTGGCGCGCGTCGAGACCACCTCCGGCGATGTGAACTGCGAGTACTTTGTCAATTGCACCGGCTTCTGGGCGCGCGAGGTGGGCACTTTGTCCAAGCCCGTGGTAAAGGTGCCGCTCAAGGCCGTGGAGCATCACTATCTGCACACAAAGCCCATCGACCAGTTGGATCCGTATACGCCGTTCGTGCGCGACTTTGACGGACGCATCTTCTTTCGCGAGTGCGAGGGTCACATCCTGGCTGGTGGCTACGAGCGTGAGGCGAAGATGGTATACGAGGACGGCGTCATACCGCTGTCGCAGAAGGCTCGCCAATATCCGCCCGACTGGGATCACTTTCATGAGCTGCTCGATGAGCTGTTGCAGCGTGTACCCTCATTCCGTGAGGCTTCGCTGGATCGGCTGACGAACTCGCTGCAGGTGTTCTCGCCCGATTGCAAATGGATATTGGGCGAGGCGCCCGAGATACAAAACTACTATGTGGCCGCTGGCAACAAAACGATGGGCGTTTCCGCCTCCGGCGGCATTGGACGCGTGCTCACCGATCTCATTACGAAGGGATCTACGTATCTGGATCTGCACATATTGGACATCAGTCGTTTCCTGGGCCTGCATAACAACCGCAAGTTCTTGCGGGATCGGTGTAAGGAGGCGCCCGGCAAGCACTTTGAGATCAACTATCCCTTCGAGGAATTTCAAACTGGACGCAATCTGCGCATGTCGCCCATCTATCCGCAGCTCAAGGAAGCGGGCGCCGTCTTTGGCCAGTCCATGGGCTATGAGCGACCCAACTATTTTGATTTGAATGACAAGCAAGGTGCTTATTCCAGTTCTCGCAATCATTCATGCACTAATCCTTCAACTCTTGCCTTCAGATGAGTTTGGGCTGCCGCGCTTTCGCATCTCTCAGACGCGCACCTTTGGCAAACCACCCTGGTTCGATCACGTCGCCACAGAGTATCGCGCCTGTCGCGAACGCATCGGCATTGCCGACTATAGCTCCTTCACCAAGTACGATTTTTGGTCCAAGGGCAACGAGGTGGTCGAGCTGCTGCAGTATCTCTGTTCCAACGATGTGGATGTCGCCGTTGGCTCCATTATACACACGGGCATGCAGAATCCCAATGGTGGCTATGAGAACGATTGCTCCCTGGCGCGTCTCTCCGAGCGGCAGTGCGTAAAGCAGTTAATCTTTTCATCTCCAGCAGCACTAATTCAAATTCCTATTATATTGCAGCTACATGATGATTGCTCCGACCATACAGCAGACGCGCTCCATGAGCTGGATACGCAAGCACATGCCAGATCATCTGCGCCCCAAGGTCAATGTGGCGGACGTGACCTCCATGTACACGGCCATATGTATACTGGGCCCATATTCTCGGATTTTGCTCTCGGAGTTAACCGACACAGATCTCTCAGCCAAGAGCTTCCCCTTCTTTACATATAAGGTAAGCGACTTCTGTAATTAGATTAAGAGGCTTCTCGTTCAATTACCTGACCTTCCAACCGGATTTAAATTTATACACTAGCTTGTAATTTTGCTCAGTCCAAATGCTGCCTACCTAGGTATTCTTTAGTTATTCGGCATGTGAACGGGGCTTTTAGCCCGGTTCAACATGTATGAATGGATTTTCAGATTTAAGTTAAATTCATTTTGAATGAATTTTCATCTAGATTTGTGACAATTTGTCGTTATATGTTTTTAATCTACATTACAAATTTGTAAGAGTAGATTTTTATCATTTAACCAATCTGTTACTTAAATGGTAAGTCAGTCAGTCAATCAGTCATCCGCCCATCAGTCAACAGCCCATCAGCCTGTCAATCGGCTGGAAAACTAGTCTGTCAACGAATCAAACAGACAATCAACCCACCAATCAGTCATTCACTCAATACGTCGCTCGGTCAACTCATAAATCAATCAATGATTCAATCAATTAGCAGGATAATAAACCTGTCAATCATTCAGCTGGACAATCAGTAAATCAAATTCTACCACCAATATCAATCAGTTGATAAATTAATCGAAATCGGTCACCTGGTCAGTAATCGGTCAGTCATTCAATCAATTAGCTGGATAACGTCCACATCGTCCTTTGAATCATTCAATCAATCAATCAATCGTCTGTCAGTCAAATAGTGAAGCAGTTCAATCAGCCAGCGGGACAATCAGTGAGTCAACCCTTGATTCAATAGGTCAGTCAACCAATCCGTCATCCAATCAATCAGCTGCACAACCAGTCAATCTCACATGTCGCCGCTCAATCAATCCTTCAAGCCGCACAAATAGTTTTTAAATGGATTTTAAACAGTCTGTTAAGCTCTGCCTCACCCTCAAGCGCTTCCCCTAAACAGGAACTCGATGTGGGCCTAGCCGATGGCATACGCGTCCTGAACATCACACACACTGGCGAACTGGGCTATGTGCTCTATATACCCAACGAGTATGCGCTGCATGTGTACTCGCGACTGCATAAGGCTGGTCAAAAGTACCAAATACAGCATGCAGGTGAGTTCCCAAAAAGAAGCAGAGGATGCACACAGAAATCCTTTGAAGCTCACATGGATTCACTGCAAGACTTGGCCACACACAGGTTACTATGCGACGAGGGCGCTGCGCATCGAGAAGTTTTATGCGTTCTGGGGTCAGGACTTGGATACGTTCACGACGCCGTTGGAGTGCGGACGCAGCTGGCGTGTCAAGTTCAACGTAAGTGGAGGCGAGTTCTCAGTCGGAGTTGGAGGATGGTATTAATCCGTTTTGCTTGTGCTGCCACAGAAACCGATTGATTTTATTGGACGCAAAGCGCTGCTGAAGCAGCGGGAGGAGGGCGTGAAGCGAATGTATGTGCAGCTGCTGCTCAACGATCATGATCACGAGGTGGACATGTGGTGCTGGGGCGGTGAGCCCATTTATCGGGATGGCATCTATGTGGGCATGACGACAACAACCGGCTATGGTTATACCTTCGAGAAGCAGGTCTGCTTGGGCTTTGTGCGCAACATTGATGCGCAGGGCCAAGAGCTGGCCGTGAGCAACGAGTACGTGCTGTCCGGGCACTACGAGGTGGAGGTGGCCGGTGTGCGGTTCGAGGCCAAGGTGAATCTGCACTCGCCCAACCTGCCCACCAAGTTCCCGGATCGCGAACGCGAGGCCTATCATGCGACGCGCGACAAACCCGACCAGGCAGATCTGCTCTCGTTCAGCTCAAATCTGACGGAGACGCGCCATTGAGCCCCACCGTGCCGCTCCCCACCATCGGCCGCTCCTATCCCAAATCTGTGTGCCCGTTCTCCATTCTTTTATATTTGATATACAGCCAAGCGAAAATGTTTGTCTCATTTCGTTCGCTCGTTCGTCTCACTTCGAGTCTCAATTGCAAAGCGATATTAGTTTATATTGTCATTATATAGTAACATATATACATATATATTATTTGTATATATGGAGAAAGATCGGCGAATGAGCGAATGAGAGAGCCGAGGCGTGTCAGAGTGAGAGATGCGATATTAGTTTTTGCTCAAAGAGGCTGCGCCCTTTAAGCAGAGCGCAGCGGATAGTTGTGTGTTATCGATATACACACATATATATATATATATATATATATATATATGCCTATCGATATATTTATCGCAGTTGATATGTTATTATTGTTGATTTTTGTTTCGTTTTGCCGTGTCAATTACAATTTGAATATTTTCTATTAAATTATTGGATCAATCAAACTATTGGTAAATGCTCGAAGCAATACAAGCACAACGAAATACATATATACAAATATTGTGCAGATATTTAAAAATTGTCGTTAAATTTTCAAATCTTCCTAAACAACTTGAAAGCTTCCTGCTAAAATTAACGCACATTATTGTATCTGTGTGTGTGTGTGTGTCTGTGTGAAATGCTCATTTTTTTACAAAAAAAAAAAAACTGGAATATTTTTGCTGAGAATTTCAGTTCTTGCCAATTTTTATATTATAGAAAAAAAAGCTCTGCCTTATATAAAAGAAAGTTTTTACTGTACATTGGGCAATTTTTCAACACACACACGCATACACACACACACACACACACGTACACACACACAAGCAATTAAATAACATACGTGGATATTTATACGCATTTTTTGTGTACTAACGTTGAACTTGATATACAATATATACATATGTATATATGTACACTGATGGCGAAAAAAATAGTCGCGGATTGTTTTTTTTTTTTTTTAATTGAATATTTATTCGGATCATTTATATAGGAACGTGGCTTGCCATTTCTATTGTTTTGGCCATCAGTGTGTATATACGAATATATACATACATATATTTATATACAAAAAAATAAAAGAACAGTTTATATTAAATGATTGACTAACATTTTGGCTTGGCTGTAAGGAAGTGGCCGTGCCCACAGGCTGTGGCAAGTGTAATGCGCCTAATGCGGCTTGTGCTGCACAACTTTGTGTTGGCCGAAACTACAAACTTGGCCAACAAGTTGGCAACAATGGCAACTTGTGAAAGGGGGTGTGCGGGTGTGGCAGGTGTGTGTGTGTGTGTGTGTGTTGGATCAGCTGGCGCAGCTGTTGGGCAATATGCAAAAACTTTCGGCCAGCCCCCCCCTTTGCAAGGGGGTGTGGCCAGATTTGGATGAACTTAGTTGGCAATTGTTGCAGTTGTTGTTGTTGATGTTGTTGTTGTTGTGTTTAGCCAAGAAATTCAGGCGTGTGCTAATGCGCAGCAAACTCGTTGCCAAAGATTTTTGCACATGTTTCGGGCCAAGCAGAAGTTTTCGGCTGGCAAAACTAACCAACAACAACAACAACAACAGCAACGAGAAACAAGCTAACAAAACGTACAAACTGCTACTGGTCCTCATCAACAACAACAACAACAACAACAATATTATCAACATCATTGTTGTTGTTGTTACTTGGTTGTTCGGTTGTCCTAGGGGCACTTTTGGCCACGCTCGGCTGGGCTCTGTCGGCCCGGCTAACTGCCTGCCTTTCTGCCTGCCTGCCAGCCTGACTGACTGGCCAACTGTTGGCTCTGTGGAGGATTACAAACTATCTTTTTGTTAGTAATTAGCTGCACACGATAAACGTGACATTATTATTGTTGCCCAGTTGTTGTGCAAAACTTTGCGGCCTCCGCTTCGGTTTGCAGCAGCAACAGTCACAGCCACCCCCTGCCTTTTAGATACCCTGTATGCATTAAATATGATTTCAAAAGGCAGTGCACACCCACACACAAATTATATATGAACCCGTATATGAATACGTGCGTCGATGAAAGACCGATAATCTAGTTTAATACAATTTTGCTCCACTCTTATCGATAAGTATCGATTTTCGGCTGTTGAAAAGTTTGGCAGCTGAGAGTCTCAAGTTTATGTTGCAGACTTGTGTGTATCATATGAAGAACTTATTTCTTTTCTATTTCCCATCATTTTGTTGTGCTCCAAAAAATCGATTATTATCGATCAGTTTCTTGTGCTCCAATAATAGATAAGTATCGATTGGTTGCTTGAGCCCCATAAGCCCGAAAAGTATCAATCAGTTCTTAGTGCCCCACAAATCGATAAGTATCGATCAGTTATTTATGTCCATTAATGTCGATATGTATCGATCAGTTATCTGTGCCCCTAAAATCGTTAGCTATCGGTCACTTCTTTGCGCCCCTTACAAATAATATGATAAAGATCAGTTCTTTGATCCTTTAAAATCGATAAGTATCGATTAGTTCTTTGTGCCTCAGGAATTCAAAAGGCATCGGTCACTTTCGTGTAGTGCTTACAATCGATAAGTATCAACATTTTTAACTGGCATTTTTGAGTAAGACTCGGCAATCATAAGAGCTAATTACAAATTGATTACACTGGCATTCCATAATGCATACAGAGATCAAGTTAAAGAAACTTTTCTAATATTATTATAATATAGCTCCGATTTTCACATATTTGAATGCCGCCTTTAAGCATAGACGATTGTTAACAGATCGTAATATAAAGACATGAGTTGCGAGGAGTATTTAGAATGATTTGTAGGGTATCTGCCAGTCGCATATCTTAGACTAGAGCACTCATACTCGTTTGTTGCTTGATTTGTTGCAAGGCATATTTGAATTTTGTGGCAGTTGCTGTGGCTGCTGCGGCTGCTGCTGCTGCTGCTCAGCAAAGTTTTGACCGTTTTACAAATGAGACTTTTGTTAAATCAAAAATTCAAGTGGCAATGCCGCACTCGGTGGCGCCACACAGTCAGTCAGTCAGTCAGTTGGTCGGTCGGCCAGTCTGTCTGTCCGACTGGCGAGTCCACGAAATTATCAATTTCTGCAACTGGCCACATCACAATCACAGCTCACATCCTTATGGCCACGTTCCCATCCGCATTCGCGTCTCTTGCCCCAGTCGCAGTCGCAGACTCAGACCCAGACCCAGCCGCAGCCCCGTCTTCGTCTCCGTCTCCTTCTGTTTCTCATTGGGGGTTTCATCATGTTTTGTAATTTATGCCCATTTATTGTGCGGTTTTCTACCGCATCTCGTCTTGTGGTTGACCAGTTGAACATGGATGCTAGATGCTGCCCTGACTCTGGCTTGGGCTTGGGCTTGGGCTCCAGCTCCGGCTCCGGCTCCGGCTCCTGGAACTGTAGCTGGAGCAATCAACAAATTTGCATATGACTGGCCAACCAAATGCTAGCTGGGCATGGACCATGGCTAAGGTCAATTTGCGGCCAGCTGCTGGCTTTCAAAATGTATCTTAAACAAAAGTTCGAGTTAGTTATTGCCCAGAGAAGGCCTGTCCCGCGCCTGTGCATCGCCCAGCCATTGGCTCGTCCAGTGTGAAGAAGGTGGCGAATGTGTTGAGCGAATGCCCAGAGGCGTCCCCTAGTTTACGGTAGCTGAAATTTATTGCCTTTTACAATACAAATCGGATTTTAGATAAATGCAATTCAGCACTTTTTTATGCCGCTTGGAAAATTTATTAACTGGGATTAACCCAATTTTTCTGCAAAAATATTTTCTTGTGCTTTTTTTTTTCTTAAAACAAATTTTTAAAATATTTTCAATTAAAAGTTGTCAAGAATTGTTGATAAATAAATAACATATTTGCATCTCTTGACTATGTTAAAGATATATATTGAAAACATCAAAAAATGTGCCTAAAAAGAATATTCTATTAAATAAATACTATTTTAACATGTTTAACATGTGTATAGTATTTGAAAAAAATGCTTCGATTTTTGCTTATTTCAATCCATTTTTATACCCTGAACCCATTAAAAATGGGTATAAGGGTGTCTTGTATTTGTGCGAAATCCAAATGTATGTAACAGGCAGAAGGAAGCATATCCGACCCCATAAAGCAGGTATATTCTTGATCAGCATCAATAGCCGAGTCGATCTAGCCATGTCCGTATGTCTGTCCGTCCGTCTGTCCGTATGTGTTAACGCAAGGATCTCAGGAACTATAAGAGCTAGAGAAATTTTAGATGTACGTGCTCCTAGTTCCCGCGCAGATCGAGTTTGTTTCCAATAATTGATAACTTACTCCGTTTCCAAGTAATCGATAAAAATCGATATCCTGTTTTTTTGGGCAATTTTGGTAAATAATAAGAGCTAGAGACACCAAACTTGACATAGCTTCTAAAATAGAATATATATATACATTTTATGTTGGAAGAAGAGGGTTCAGGGTATCCCCTAGTCGGGAGCTCCCGACTAGAATCTCTTACTTGTTAATTATTTGAAATCCAACAATTCAGAGCTAGAAAACACATAATAAGGAGCATAGTTCTACTAGTAAAAGACGAGTTTGTTTAACATATTTTGATAAAGAACAACATTTTCGATACAAGAACCTACTTTTCGAGCGATTGTTCCTATGGTAGACATATGATGTAGTGTTCCGATCCGACCGCATGGAAAAGAGGCTATGATTGGGTGAAAACAACTGTTGAGGGGAGTTGACTATACAACTTAACCTGCCTGTCCCTACTAGACACGTAATTATACTAAATAGATATGCTTTGCATGATTATCTCTGTGATGCTTAGAACATGCATTACAGGGTATTTTGCTCGCAATCTTCTCTCCTCGTCTAAAGTCGTCTATTCTCAACTATTTGACAATTAGTTAGTCTTTAGTCTTTCGTCTAGGTTTATGTTCGTTTTAGTACTTGCCGAATCGTGGCGTACGGGAGGTGGAATGCAGCACTTTGCATTGGGAAAAAAGCTCAATTGGTTGTAATTCTCAACTGGCATTTGCCATAGCAAATTGTGAGCTGTGTTTATGTCAAATGTGGCGAAATGTGCTTAAATACTAAATAGAAATTTCACTCGAATTGTGAACACGAGAACGCGCTTGAAATACAGTGCAATTCGAGAGGCAATATTGCCCACAGTGATTTATTTATTTAGAGGGTATCGAATGTTTACATAAAATCAACAAAAGCTCGAGTGGAATAAGCAAATGCCGCATACAAATAAGATTAGTTTTAACGGGATAATCATTTCAAATCTCTGTCTTGGCCTAAACCCTACCCCCTGCTGCCCACACCCGCTGCTAGTAGGGCTCGCATTGTAGCCAAACAAAAGTAATGCGCCTCATTAGAGGTTAAGCTGTGGGCGGGGCCCAAGTCGTGTGTCTGA